ATGTGTAAAAATATATATTGTAAAATAAAGGGAAGTATAAAGTATATTGTATAACTGAAATAATATCATAAAATAAAAAAAATAACACGTTTCCAATTATTTGGACTATTTCATTAAAGAAATCTGTCAAAAGCGCCGACTTTTCTTCGCGTTTCCTAGATTTCTCTACATGCTCTCTTGTTGCTTTTGTTTTTTCAGTTATTTGCTACTTGATATTAAGCCAATTCATACCTATTGAATGTTATCATTCAACCATATTGTTTGAATTTTATGTAGATGAAGTACACTCTAGAATGTAAAAACAGTGTTTTGATAGCAAAAACAATTATTATTAAAATTATCCACATTTCATACATTTAAAAAACATTATTTTTTGAGATAACTATTTTGTACGAGGCAGCAAGACCGTAAAACGTCTAATTGTGCACTGCAATGGAATGTCGTAATACCTTATGCCTGTTTAAATCGCTATTATTGAACCAGAAATGGGTCACCTGGGGATGACAGTTAACTATACATCCAATAAGTAACGAGAATAGACAATAATTAAATAACAAATAAACACATATATTAGAAGTTCTTCAAAGAGTATCTTAAATTTAAGGGGAAACGGGGGGCTCTTAAATACCAATGGCCGGCGAAGTGACATAAAACAAAATAATTAAACCCAATTAAAATAAAGTATAAATAACATTAAAAAATAATATAAATTCAGCTGAATAGATGAAGTTATTAATAGTGATGAGTGGACTGTATGATGGTGTTATATTTAATATTAATGATCACTTTTATTATATGATAAAAACAGTTTCAAATATTTATCATATTTATTAACTTTAGATGAGTAAATAATGAATTAAATTAATTTCAACATAATAAAATTTTCAAAAATTAACAACCATATGTTATTTTTAATTCATTTTAAGAATATAAATTCATATTGTAGTATAATTTGGATTTTCGGCTAGTCGGGTTTTTGTCCACATTTAAATTAATTAATTTTATACAAAATGTAAATAAAGTCTCCTAAATAACTTAAAAATCTTGTCTTATTATATATTGTTAATGAAAGAAGAATATTTTCACTAACTTTAATAAAATCATTATTTAAGAATTGTGTAATATTAGGAATTTAATCCAAAATACTACTGGTTTATGTAAAAACTCTTGTTTATTTAGAATTAGCTTTAATTTAATTTTTTTAAATGTACTAAATTTCAAAAAAAAAAAAATATAATAATGTGTATTTTAAAATTTTAAACATATAATCATGTAAATTTATTTTAATTAGCTTACGACGTATTTTAAGGGACTAAGAAAATGTAACTTTAAATCAACTAGAGAAAAGTTGTAAATATAAAAAAAATAAAATAATCATAATATTCAATAATATGTAAATAAATTAGTGTAATGATCTCAATTCATAAACAAAATTTTCCTTCTATCATTATGCATTTTTTTTATTTTTATTCATTGTAAAAATTTGTCTATTTATTATAGCTGTGATATTAAATATTAAATAATATTTTCTGATATCTTTACACCATGTTAAAAAGCAATAGCTTATAATATTACTAAAATTGTACATTTTATTTAAGTAATTATTTATTTATAAAACAAAAACAAAAAAAACCTAATTCGTTTTGCAAAAACATTATAAATTCAAGAAATAAATTCTTTAATTTCATGACTTCAATTTTTTTAATAACGTGTTTAATTTTTAGGTGTTTCATTTATTTCAATTCTTTGTCATCATTTCTATTTATTATACTTTGAAAAACAAAACAAAATAAAAGAATAAAATTTTTTATCATATTTAATTATTTTATGACTAAATTCATAACATTTTTATCATTCACTTATACTTATCATTTTATTATTTTATACTATATTTTAAATATTACATTAGCTTAAACTTATTAACTCATACTTTTATTATCTTATTATTTACCATTTATAAAATATTTAATTACTTTATTTTAATACCTACTATTATAATATATAACAATTATTTTCATTTAATTTCTAAATTACTAAGATTTAACAAAAACTATATAAAAAAAAGGAAAATTACTTGTAAACTTTATATTTAATGTAACATTTATTTGAATTAGTTTAAGTATGTTCATATAATGTGCACATTTTTAGGGTAATCAAAATAACCATTTATGAACATATGATTCAAACCAGTCCCCTAAAATTCATTAACCACGCCCACGTCAGGGTTTCTATCATAATTAACCAATCACAAATAATTATCCAACATCTCAGGAATTTCAATAGAGATCGCTAGCTTACTTTAGCAGGCATATATAATTGTCTAAGTAGTGATATCCTCTGCCTGTTTACTCGCTAGTCATAAAGGACAATGCCAATTACCTTCGGGTAACGTGTAGGCAGTTTAGGTAAAGAGTATTACTAAATTTATAAAAAAATATTTTTGAAGTGCGCTATATCCGTCGACAAGCCATNAAATATTTTTGAAGTGTGCTATATCCGTCGACAAGCCAGTTCTAGGACTAGTAGTCCGGATACAGTTCATTACAAGATATATAGTTCGTAAGGTAAGAAACTACACCTTGGAAATATCCTCTGCGTGTGTTTACTCGCTAGTTATAAAGGACTATGCCAATTATCTTTAGGTAACGTGTATAGTTGGCTTAAAAGATAGTTAAACGTGTATTAAAATAATATTTAATATATATTAACGAGATCAACTGTATCCGCGCCAGCCAAGGCTTTATGCTGAGAAACGCTGGGGTAACACAGTTTTGTTAATTATATTTTTAATATAAATATACATATTCTTATAATTATATTTTGACAAGTTCAAAGTAAATTTTAAGAATATCGATATCAACTATAGGGAATTCATTGAAAATATTATTAGTAAAAACATAGTGTAATATAAAAAGAGTTTAAAAAGTATAAAAAAAAAGTAACAAATCATGATAGAAGCAGGTCCCATTGTAGAGAATCTTTGTTTTTTAAATCTAATATGCACACAAAAGCTAATTAATCTAAATAAACGCAAGACCTTAATAAGGTCTTATTGTTTATAAGGTCACCTTATAACTACTTGGGGTCGGCCAAACAATTCTTAACACTAAAACGAAAAATCACCATAAAATTAACTCAATCAACTATTAAAGAAAATAAAGGTAAGTGCGAATATTTATTTGCATGCTTTACTTCTTAAAAATTCATGTAATAAACAAGATTAAGAATAAGAATAAGTTGGATAGAGATATTTTATTATTTTATAACTCAACATAGTTCGACCCCGAGATACCACTTCATCCTTAACTCCCTTATTATTTAAAATACTCATATTTACTACACATACTATTTTCCCTACACCCCCTTTATATTTTTGTTTATTACTATATAATTTGATTTCATAAAACTTAAGATACTATTTTTATATCACATTAAAATAAAAAAGTACATGTTTTATTAACAAAATAATAACCTATCATATATCAATTTTTATTATTTTTAATATTCATTTTATCATTAGTAGTATAACCTTATAATGTAAGAATAAGTCTTTTAAAAATTACACGAGAATAGTTATCAATTATTAATCAAATAACATCAATTCTTTAGCGATTATACAAGTTTCAATCTAATAGTATTAAATATTATATAAAATTAACATTCGAGATAGGATAATTATCACGGAAAAAAATTTATACCTATAACTAATAATTTGTATATAAAGATTATTTTACTACTTTGCTTCTCTAATGAACAAAGGCCACCATTTGATACCGTATAATAAATGCGACAAATTTCAATTTTTTACGAATTTCAAATACTCTAGAATTTTAACTACAAGACATTAAATAGAATATTCTTCATCTAAATTATTTTTTATAATTTACTCTATAATATGGTTATCATAATTTTATTTAAACAGTTCTAGTATTTGTTTTTTTAATTTTATATTTTTTAACAAAATAAAAAATATATAATTTTATTGTATCATTATAGTTCTAAGCTGTAAAAAGTTTTAGAACTAGAAAGTGACGAAAAATTTTCAGTATAAGGTTATAGGATTCATCAGAATATTGTGGGATATGTTATATTTCATAATTCAGTTTTTATTTCATTGAAATTTTCAATTGTTATTTAATTTTTCTTAATGTTTGAAAATTATAGTAAACATAAATAATACGAATAATAAAATATTTATAGTTATATTATGCATAATATTTATCATTATACTTGATATTAATAAATAAATATAATAAACTTTTATTTTGTCTATTATAAGTACAAAAAATTAATATAATAGTCACATTTATATTGAAAAACGAGTTATTTACTCTATTTTAATTTTAAATTGTCATGAACACTTGGTAAATGACTCGATATTTTTAATCAATCAGTGTTGTAACGTGAATTCTTTTAACTTGACTATACCATGAAGTTTTTGACAGCACACCGATTGCATAAGTTGAACCAGGCTTTAAGTTACCTAGCTAAAAATGTACATTATTTAATATATTATAGAATTTTATTTTATCGAGAATCTTTAATTCGATTTGATATGTTTTTTATTCTGCGTACCTTATAAGTATAAGTCGGCTTTTCTTCGGTAACTAATAGTTCAATAGGCGGATAACTAGTACAACATGAATCAATATCTATTGCAGAAACTTCTTCTGCGTTTATTATAAACGAATTAAGTGCACCGTTAAACATCCAAGGGATGTTCCATTCTAGGGAAATGTTGTTGGTGCCGACATAAGTAATCGTCAAATTTCCAGGTTCATCTGGAACTGAAAAAATAAAATATTATAGAAACTCAATAGCTACAAAATAACATATGCTAGTAAATATCAATGAAAAAAGTTTACTATAAAATTATACTACGCTTGCACGTATAATTAGTTTAAAAATTAACTTTTTGTGCATAAAACTATCGAAATTATAATTTTGCCAATTCCAAAGAATTAGTTTCAACAGAAAATTTTGGCCGACATAAATATGAAAATGATGGGGTGCTAAAATTATGTTATGCTCGCAAACTCGCGGAGTCTTGTTTTGACATTCTCATAAACACATTTAATGTTCTATTTAAATAAAGAATGCATACATTTTTAAATATATTTTCAAAACTATACAGGATGGCCCACCACTCACTGACAACTTAAATACTTTTGATCCAGTTAATATTTTTAGCTGATTTTTTTTTAAATAATAGTTATACGTTAGGTCTATAGCTATATCTCAATAATTAATTTTTTTACATTTTATTAAAAATATTAATTATTTTTAAATTTTAAATGAAAAGATAGCGTTTTCTTCTGTCCTTTTCTTTAATACGTATTTCAATGTTTAATACCGTAAAATAATATATGAAAATTCAAATTTTCATAAACTTTAAAACGCTACAGAATATTTACTATTGAATATTAATAAGATATTTTTTTACTAAAATTTTTCTTAAATTCTACTCTACAAAATAGCTATCTTAGATTTTTTTTTTACATTTTATTTAAAATTTAAAAATAATTAATATTTTTAATAAAATGTAAAAAAATTAATTATTGAGATATAGCTATAGACCTAACGTATAACTATTATTTAAAAAAAAAATCAGCTAAAAATATTAACTGGATCAAAAGTTATTTAAGTTGTCAGTGAGTGGTGGGCCACTCTGTATATTATGATCAATTTTTTTTATAAGTAACTCAATTGGTTAGAACTTTAAAATTTAATATTTTTATTCTTACTTCCGTCGACAGTATTAAAATCTTCAGATGCCACTAATCCACCATTAGGATAATCTAAAGATTTGGCTTTTATCTTTGGTTATAAAAAATCATATTATTAGTTTATCATATAGTAACTATGTTATAGTAAATAGACAATAGTTTGAAAATTACTTTAATAGTGTACTGGGTGCTTGGTGTTAAATTATCTATAGTTTCACAATACATATCTGGCCATGCAGTACATCTCGATGGAACTTCGATTGTTATTTGTTTGGAATTAACTTTATAATAAGAAGCAATTAAATGAATTATAAAACCATTTATATCAGACTCGTTATCGTAACTCCATCTCAAACCTATAGTTTTCGTTTTTGAATTTTTTTTGTAAACTGATAAATTTTCTATTGCAGGTAAAACTAAAAATTTTAAATAATTCGAGTTATTTAAGTAAATTCATTAAAAATAAATATAAACTCTATCTTTAATTAAAAAAACAATTCAAAAGTTATGTGGTAAGTAATCTTTGCACTCAATTTCGAAATGTACTATATATTTAGCTTGTACTGAAATGGTAAAATAAAATAATTTAAATAAAAATTTTTCTCTCTACTTAAGCCATTGGCTTAGAAAGTACATACATTATTTATTTACTTTCATCAAATATCCAAATAACTATTTTACGTCATGATGTTTTAACGCATCAAAAAATTCAATGTGTATTGCTTTTATATTTAACTTAATTTATATAATATTCTTTGAAATCATCTTACACTTCGATTTTGTTTGAAAGGGTACTTTTAACATAAAGTTTTCATTATATCCTTTTTTCGTTTTTATATAAACTTCTAGAACATATGATGTATTCGGCATTAAATTGTTAAATTCTATTGAAGTATCGTCAGTTTCATTTTCTATAATAGTGTCTTGTGCTAAATTCTGAAGTAAAAATATGATCGACAAAAGTTAGTTATATTAATATTTAATAATAATATGTTATATATAAAATTGAAATGTTTATTACAATTGTTTTGAAAAATTACATATGGAAATAAAACCCAAAATAAATCATTTATAATTATGTCGAAGTGCATTAAAAATGTCAAGTTACGTTAAACTCGTTTTTAATATAACATTACAACATATTTAAACGTCAAATGAAAAAAATTTTTTTATCCGAATCCTGTTATAAGACATTTGAGTTAGAGTGGATCCTAAAAATTAAAACTTTTGATTTGATTTGTAGCACTTAATTATAAGTTACTCGACTAATTGAAAAGAATAAGTCACAAATATTTTGTAAATTACTATAGGATACTCGACTTAGAAGTAAAAAAACCAACTAAATTGTGAAATAATTGTCATAAGTAAAATTGAATATTAACAGTGTGGAATTTTCAACACGTATCAGTATCAAAAAGTACATAAAGCTGTTAAGTACTTTTTAAAAGCTCACAAATAACCATATAAACAATTTTTTTATAAAAATAAAACTGTAAATTTTCCGAGTTTTTTTAATTTTACGTATATTTTTATCATGATTACATTTTCATTAGCTTTTATTCTGAAAAATTCCGATCAAAATCAAATTTAAATATTTATAAAAATAGTTTTATTTAACATATAAAATTTAAATTTTGCGCAACTTTTTTTAGCATCAACAAATTAAATTATTAAAGTTTAAAAAAAAATTATTTTTCACATTATATAATTATTTAATTGTTTAATTATTGCTTAATTATCTCAAAAACTAGACGTGATGGAAAAAATCTATATCCTAGATACGGGAATCAACGTCAAAAATAAAATGATTGTTAAAATTATTAACAGAATTAGATTATAGCGAAAACAACTATGCGTTTTGTTCGTATACGTATTTTCCTCGTTATCTAGTCTATATATTTTACTTTATTCGGAAATGTGCCTTTAAAATATATTTTATATTTAAATGCTATTCAGAAATTAATAATTTAAAATGATTTTTTGAAATTTGATTTAATACCTTTAATTTGTAATAAAAGCCTGTTTGAAAACCATTCACCTTGACACATTGATTTTTATCTACTAGCCATTTTATTGATGCCGTTTGGTTACTCACATAAAATGTGCCATTATTGTCTAACACAGGAGAAGTTCGTGGTGCTAAAAAAGACACAAATCAGCGATAAGAAAAATATTATTTTGTATTATATATTTAAATAAAAACGTCAATATTCACTTGAAGGTGCAGTCATCGCGTATATAATGTTTTCATTTTCACTATAATTATAACCATTTGTAATAGGCTCAACTTTTATGATATATTGGGAGTTTGGTATAAGACCGAACAAATAGTATTCAGTAACATTGTGTACTATAATTTCTTTCCAGTTATTGTTTATAATATTATATGAACAACTGAAATGCCGATTTACCTAAAATTGTAATAAATTTATAACAGAGTTTTAGATTAGAAAATAAAGAAAAATATGCTTTGTTCAATTAACCTTGTATTTAATTTTATAATTTATTTCTGAATTTATTAGTTCACCTAGTTTCCATGATAAAAGTAAGGAACTGTCAGAGTTTTGACCGAACAACACTGAAATGTCTTCAATATCAATCAATTCTGTTAAAAATATTAATTAACCTATTGAAGTTACTGTATTTTGGTAAAAAGTTTTATATACTTTGATAATCTTACCAAAAGTTTCTGTAGTCGCATATTTTACATCTGAAACATTGATTNATATACTTTGATAATCTCACCAAAAGTTTCTGTAGTCGCATATTTTACATCTGAAACATTGATTAAACCCAAAATCGTTTGTCCTATTAATTGTACAGCATATGTATGAGATGGTATTAAATTATTAAAAACGTATTCATTATCCTTAATTAGTATCTCCTCTTGAAATAACGAATTTTCGTTCCGTGTTAAATTAGACATTAATTTTAAAATAAATGATGTGATATTGCACTCGTTGGCATCGTTTTTTCTTAACTAAAATATCGATGAAGTGTAAATTAATATATTAATATAATTAATATTTTATGTTTTACTTTTTCCCAAGTAACGGTGATATTGTCGGTTCCTGGAGTAAGTTTCATTCCGTGGTTAATTTTTTTTGGATCTAAAACACATTTAAAAGATTTTCTTAAATTAAAATTTAACGTAGTTTTTATAAACACGCTGATAGCATTTGTTCTGGATAGAAGTGTATTCGAAATATTGAGTAATAATATTTGAGTGTCATAAAATACACAAATATTTTTATTATTTTTTTATAATTATTTAAAATGAGTTTATCAAAAAATAATTCTGGTACCCCGATTAAAAATAACCAGCCATTTAGTACTTCTTTGAACAATATCACTTCTCAGCGCCGTGAGCTTTCTTAAAAGACATCAATAAATTTCTAAAATCGTTGAATACCTCTATTAAAACTAAATTTGATTTTCTCCATGAAAATTATCTAAATACGGAATATTGGTTCAGTAAATTGAAAGTTTTGTTATGTAACATAACATCAAATTATTGGGCTGAGTTGGAAAGTCTTGGAATGACAAAATATAAACTATGCAAAATATAACTCTACTTAGTATTACCTGTGTATGCATAGGGGGAATAAATAAGGATACTCATGGTCTCAGAAATTATTGAAAATTAAAAATTTTTGTAAAGAAAAATATTGTAAAAATCTATACAATAATTTGTAGTTAAATAATTTTTTATTCATGCCTTCAGGTAAAAACAAGTTTACTATCATATATTGTTGAACAACCAGTGTTGAAAATTTTTTTGATAACTACCCAAGTAATAAATTATGGGCCATTAAAACAGATTATTGTTTCCTCCAGTTATATGAACACCAAATTAATTATTATTTTTACTTTGAATCTAAATCTTTAATCAATTTTAAAAAATGAATGGTTTAAAATAAAATAATTATAAGAACAAAATTGTTTGTAACTTTTATCTTCGATGCGAAGCTGAGAAGGTATTAATTTTATTATAATATGTTAATTTATTTAAATTTTTTTAATATCTGTCGCCATTTTTTCTCAGCTCTCAGCGGACCGATTTTTTTCAGCCATACGTCAAAAAATCATAAATCATATCTAGTTGCAGTCATTATCCTTAAACACTCTCGTTCCCTGTACATGGAAGAAATATCCCCAAAAAGGTTTATTTTTAAAATCGGTAAATTTCGACATTTTTTAAAATTTTTTAAATCTGAAGGAAACAAAATCATTTTTTTTAAAATCATAACCTTTAGGTATTTCCTATTCATTTGGTATATTATTGAATATCTGACCCTTTAACACAGTGGGGATTAATAGCAACATTTACATAAAAATTCAACTTTATAAACTTTTCAAAATGCTCCGGAAATATTTCAAAAATATTTTTAATTAAAATATATGTTGCGTACTCTAAGTTAAAAAAAAAAATTGCCCCCATGATTTCTATGTGCAAAAGGCTACCATATTTAAAAAATATGCTATTTTTATGTTAAACTATTCGATTTTATATTTTCAACTTGATATTGTTATGACTTTTTGAAAATGTATGTATCCATACAATTGTTTTGTGTACTTGGTAAACACATATTCTTTTATCTGAAATATTTTTTTTTTATTTAAAATGCCCTATAAAAGGGATGCTACAGTGATGGGGCCGCTGATTTTCATAAATGCTATTTGAATGAAATTTACATTGAATGATTTATAAGTTTAATGCATCAATAATTACTTGTTATAGTAATTAAACTTAGTATGAAATTTATATTGAATAATTTAGTATTGTAAATTTTACGAAAAAATTATAAAAAGTTATTGTATACATAATGATTCTTTTAATATTAGCTATGTTAAGAAAATCCTTTATGGTATTTTTTAGTTTCATATGTTTTTTGATTTATCAATTAGAATAATTTTTTAAATTCATCATATATACCTTATTAATGTATCAACATTATTTCTTTTAAAGTCAACATACATATTTAACTAGCTTCTAAATAATAAAACTTATAATTAGAATATATATATAAGGAAATAGAATTTCTTGTTGCTTTTTGAATAATTCAATAATTTCTTATAAAAATCAAACACTGTCTACAGATTTGCATCGAAGCGTCTTTTATTTTAGTGTTTTTAATCAATGCCAGATATCATCTATAATTGAACCAACTATGCTACGTTCCCACTGTTCTTGGTGTTCCATAATGTGTATAATTTGTATTTTAATTAATATTTAAGGATTTCGACTGAACTTTTTAATCTATTGGGAGTTATTACTGTATTTTTTTTCTTATTGAAATAAATAAATAAACATATATACAAATATAGATATTGTAACATGTTAAAGGTTTATCATATAAATACTTACTAAAGCATTGTGTGAAATAGTTAGCAGTGTTTATATCATCTTTATTTGAGTTTCCGTCTTTTGTAATCAATATTACACCAAC